GAAGAGAAGCACGTCGTGATAGGTTGTTCGAAGAGTTTCAAGTAGAAGACATCATTGTTGAGGGTGAAGATATGGCTACACCAAATTTAGATATGTCTCCGGAAAATATTGCACAAATGACCAACATTAGAGATAAGATTGCACAAGATTTGTGGCGTGATTTCACCCAAGGCTCTTGATTATATTATTGTAATTTTTAATTTTTATTATTATTAATTTTTTTTCTTGTGTGTCAATGAACAAGTTTTTGTAATATTTGGTCTAGAAGCCAATGAATGTTTCAATCGACTAATTTAAACTAAGCCAAATGCATAGATATATCACTTTTTCTTAAATCTAACTTAATCCAAGCTCTTTAATTTTAGTAAAATAGATCAAACGAGAAAAACATGTTTGGTGTGCATAATAAAAAAGGTGTTGGACTAATTACATACATAAATGTGTGAAAATGTTAGTTTAAAAAATAAAATAAAATCCTCTTACCGAACGCATATTCACTATTTTTTATCATTTTCACAAATTACTGCCAGACGCGTTTTTACTGTTTTTGCTCTCTGAAAACAGTTTTTAACTAAGCTACCAGACGCGTTTTTGTTCTCTGAAAATGCGTTTTCATTTTCTCGTTTTCATTCTATGACAACATTCTCTGAAAATGCTATCTGAAAACGTTACCAGACGGGCCCTTATAGCTCTCCACCTGATGTTTTATGTTTGATTTCCCTTTCTCTCAATATCACTTGTATCCTTAAATCGCAAAGGTTGGTAAACTAGTTATTTTGCAACTTTTGGTGAAATTGCAGGATCATAATCATAATTTCAATAGTTTTCTATTTTCTCTTTGGCTGGAAATAATGATAAATATATCCTTTAAAAAAAAGTATGAAAACTCAAAATATGAAATATCCAACAGGAAAAAATTGGCACAAAAACTCACATATATTAGATCTAACGCTCCCGCCATAGTCATCACTCTCAAGCTCTCTCATTCTCTATTCGCATCTTCAATGGCAGACCCAGCGCTGCACCCAGAGACCCCAACCCACAACCAAACCCAACCCCTGAAGCAAATCGCCATAGACTACACCCCGGAGGCCTGCACACACTGCCCAGACGCCAACACCATCACCCTCACCTACGACCACCGCGGCGGCTCACGGTGGCGCACCACCACAAGGTTCCTCTACGGCACCTTCAGCTCCCTCATTCAGTGCCCACGTGGCATCACCAGCGGCCTCAACTTCAACATCTACCTCTCGTCCCTGGAAGGTGACAAGTCACAGGACGAGATTGACTTCGAGTTTTTGGGCAAGGACAGGACAATTGTGCAGACTAACTATTACATTGGCGGCACAGGTAACAAAGAGGAGTTTCATGATCTGGGTTTTGATTGTTCTGATGGGTTTCATTTGTATGTGATCAAATGGGGTCAGGATTTGATTGAGTGGTTGGTTGATGGGAAATTGGTGAGGAGGGTAGAGAGGAAAAAGGGTGAGGCTTTTCCTCACAAGCCTATGTATTTGTATGCTTCTGTTTGGGATGCTAGTTATATTGAGGAGGGGAGGTGGACTGGCAAGTACATCGGGTGTGATGCGCCTTATGTTTGCCTCTATAAGGACATTCATGTTCCTGTTAAAAGTGCTGTGGAGGGTTAAGGTTTGTTTGGGTTTGGCAAAGTTGGGTACTTTGAAAATCTAAATAAAATGGTGGGTTGTTGGTTTTATTTTTTGATTGGTATGGATGATGGAAGGAAGGAATTGATGTTATGGGCATGTTTGTTTGCCAGATTGGGAAAATGGGTTTGTTGTTGATTTTGTGCAACTGTGTTGGATGTTATGCATTTGTTTTTGTTTTGCTTGATCTGGTGGACAGAGGAAATGGTGTTTTCTGGTGTCAAAGTGGATGCAGGCTTGTTTGACCTTGGGAGGATGCCCTCTTTTTGTTCTAAAATATTTCTTAATGGTAACTTTTTTTCCTTTTAAGTTTGTTGAAGATCCCTTTTACTTTAATGTGTGTGTGTGTATATATATATATTTGGATTTAGAACTGTCTTTCTTTGTCAAAATATATGTGATTTTGCTTGGGGCAGAGAAGGAAATTAAAGTACATGTATATGAATGGATGGTGACAAATCAGTGGGGTTGGAAAAGTTGGATGAGTTTTTATTTAGCTGAGAAACAGAGATAGATGGGAATGAATTAGTTGCAGTTTGTTGTGTGTCTTGATCCCAAGAGTGACACAAAGTACATATGCTGACTCTTAAGTAGTAAAATGGTCACTTGTGTAGTTGGTGTGGTGTGGAAAAATGTGAAATATCCAATAGGATTTGGCTGGCTGTTTTGACATTGATAAGGCCACGCAAAATAGTGATGTAAGATGAAATTTATTCTTAGTTGACTTCAAAAGTGGTATGTTTCTGATTGATTTTGTACCTACGCATGTGTTTTAGCCCTGTTGGCTATTCATGGGACCATGTTTGATTTGCTTGACAATAAGTTTATCCTCATCCCACTTGCACACTATATACTTTTAATGCTGCTAATGGGAAGGCCACCTTCAAAAGTGTAACTTCAGAAGGATTTGAATTTTCATGTGAAATTTTACTGTTTGGTTATGTGTGTCTGTATGTGCACTGGGTTTACAGTGCTATGTTTTTTTTAACTCTATTGAAAGATTGGATATTTTGATTGCTTATGTTGTTGTCTGCTTTCTGATGACAGTGTTGTTACTTACTTCATTGATTTTCTTTTCATTTTGGGAACTTTTCTATTGAAAGTTTTACTGTAATGACAGGTAGTTTAAATTTAAATTTTGAAAAGCTTTCCCTTCTATTCATTTAGTGTCTCATGTAGCTTTTGAAGTTTTGCAATTGTGACATGAATTTGAGAGCATTTGTGTTCTGTGCACTTTTTTTTGTCCTTCTGTTTATGGTGACTCACAGGGAGCCTTGAATTTTGTATTGAAGAAGGTGCACAGATTGGTTGGTGCACTTCAGTTTGGCTGTTTCTTTTTGGAAATGGCCATTTCTTTAGTGCAGAAATCACTAACAACAAAGAATGATTGCTTGAGTAACCTATAAGAATAGAATTGGTATAATTCCAAATATATTGGAAACCCACATAGAAGAATAATAACTGTAGCAGCTGAAGGCTTGAACCTTTTTCATTTCATTGGCCTGGCTTCAGCAGATGCATGTGCAAAGAAGCTGCATACAAGTTTTCCCTATTATTTTTCTTTTTGTGTGCCTTCTAAGTCATCCTTTGGCAAGCATGAGGAAAATAGCTTTTTTTTTTTTTTTTTTGGTCGAAAAGATCTTATATTCAAAGCACAAGAACCCCTAAACAAGAGTCTCGCGCCCATTCAAAGGAAAACAAGTCTGTCCATGCAAGGAAACAGACAAAACATAGAGTCCAAAAACCAACCAATACATTTAGACTGATCAAGAAGAAAAGTGCCAGAAAGACAATCCAACCATAAGGATGTCAAAACGATTAAGACCAGTCAATAGCCAAATTAGGCATGGTGAGGACAAGGGAGTCCATCCTTGCCAAGGATGTGCACAAGAGAGGTGGGGGGTCATTCAACCCAAACTTCCGTACTCCTCTTCAATAGTGCCAGCGACGCAAGATGATCCACCGCTTGATTACAATTCCTGGTGGTCCAATTCCACCTGCACTCTTCAAAATATCGTTGCTTATCGCGGATGAGGGTAAGAATTGGGTACAAAGTACAACTCCCTCGACCAAAAGAGCCACGAACACTTTTGATAAGCTCCAAAGAATCCGACTCGAAACAAACCATGTTGTGACCCCGCTCCTTAGCAAATTTGTAGCCCTCCTATAACGTTGTTGCCTCAACTATAAGAGCATTCTCCGCTTGAAAATCCACATATTTGGCCCCAAGAAATCTCCCTTCAAAATTTCGAATAATTATGCCAGCCCCCGCACGACAAGTGCTTTTCCTCCAAGCGGCATCAACATTTATTTTGACAAAGGGCTCAGAAGGGGCTGCCCAAGAAGCCTGGACAGAGGGATGAACTGATCTTGTGGTGGAAGAGGTGATTAGATGCTTTAGAGAGAATCTTTCATTTACCTAGTCGAAAATGGCCTTGAGGGTTTGCTGGGGTTGGGGTGTGTAATTGTCAAACACCACCATATTCCTAGTCTTCCATATATTCCAGCAAGTGTATGCAATCTGATAGAAAATTCAGCTTCTCTCCTCCTTTGTGTTAAGGCCTATCATCACGTAATCCCGCAACCATGTATGCAGAGAATAGATTTACTGCCTATCAACTCACAATAGGTGCCCTGTATGGCGGTGGATATACCTCTGATGTTAAAAAAGTTTTAGGGGTGGGTGAGTGGTTGTAATAGAGAGTGAGAGAGAGAGAGAGAGAGAGAGAGAGAGAGAGAGAGTGGGTGTGTGTAGGGAGTGGGTTTAGAGGCCAATTTTCGTCAAATGTAGTATGAGTGGAAATTTTCAATTTGTAGCTCACTGTAAATTAGTTATTGACTTTATAATTATCCAAGAAAGCATTTGGAAGGTTTTCAGTCTGCCTTATTACCCTGCAACCCCAAAAACCACAAGTGTACAGTAATTGTAATTTGTAGGCAGCTCCATTCCGCTAGGAAATGTTTCGAAACAATTAAGGCATAGAATGAAAGAAGCTATGAATAGTGGAAGGTTTTATTTATTTATTTATTTTTGTCGAAAGGATCTTGTATTCAAGAAGCCCCAAAGCAAGAAACCCATACAGAGCAAACAAAGCAGACCATGCAAGGAACAGACAATGCAAGAAGAGACAAAATAAATCAAGCAAATACATTTAAACTGATCTAGAAACAAACGCCGGGATAGACAATCCAACAAGAAGGATGTCAAAACGATTCAAGACCAGTCAAAAGTCAAATTAAGCATGGTGAGGACAGGGAAGTCCGTACTTACAGAGAATGTGCACAAGATAGGTGGGGGGTCGTTCAACCCAAACTTCCGTACTCCTCGATAGTGCCAGCGACGCAAGATGATCCGCCGCTTGATTACAATTCCTGGTGGTCCAATTCCACCCGCACCCTTCAAAATACCGTTGCTCATCGCGGATGAGGGTAAGAATCAGGTACAAAGTCCAACTCCCTCGACCAAAAGAGCCACAAACACTTTTGATAAACTCCTGAGAATCTGACTCGAAACAAACTATGTTGTGACCCCGTTTCTTAGCAAACTTACAACCCTCCCATAACGCAGTTGCTTCCGCCACAAGAGGATTCTCCGCTTGAAAAGCCACAGATTTGGCCCCCAGAAATCTCCCATCGAAATTACGAATAATTATGCCAGCCCCCGCACGACAAGTGCTTTTCCTCCAAGCGGCATCAACATTTATTTTGACAAAGGGCTCAGAAGGGGCTGCCCAAGAAGCCTGGACAGAGGGATGAACTGATCTTGTGGTGGAAGAGGTGATTAGATGCTTTAGAGAGAATCTTTCATTTACCTAGTCGAAAATGGCCTTGAGGGTTTGCTGGGGTTGGGGTGTGTAATTGTCAAACACCACCCTAGTCGTAGTCTTCCATATATTCCAGCATGTGTATGTAATTTGACAGAAAATTTGGCTTCTCTCCTCCTTTGTGTTAAGGCATGTGATCATGCAATCCCGCAACCATGTATGCAGAAAAGAGATTTGCTGCCTATCAACTCTATAGGTTAGGCCTCCGAACCAGACAGGTTCAACCCAAGGGCAAAGCAATAACATGTGCTCAATTGTCTCCTCATGATCATTGCAAATTGGACATAAGGAAGAGTTGCGTAGCTTCTTCTTATAAAGAATAGATAAGACAGCCACGTGGCCATTTAAAGCTCTCCAAAAGAAATGGCGAATTTTTGGTGTGACATCCGCGTGCCAAATCAACTTCCAGACCCCTTCGTCAATGGACATAGGAGAAGAAGGCCTACACACGGAGCTACGGTGATGATGGGTATGAATGTTGTGATAACCAGATCTTACCGAGTGTTTTCCATTTTTCTCATCCGGCCACACCAAGCGATCCACTACCGAGCTGTTTTCGATAGGGATCCATTGAATGGCAAAAGCCTTTTCAGTCGATAATAGAGGCCGGATTAAATCCAATTTCCACGTTCTTGAATTCCAATCAATAATAGTCTCTACAGTAGCATTTCTATCCATAAAGGCACCAAGAGCAGGACACAAAGCACCTCCTTGTATGTTGGTAATCCATTTGTCAGTCCATATTCTCGCTTGCGCTCCATTCATAATTTGCCATCTTGCCTCATTTAGGATCACCTTTCTTCCTTCAATGAGACTAGCCCACGCCCACGACGCCCTGTTACCCTCGGTGGCCTCCATAAAATTACACTCAGGGAAATAACAAGCTTTGATTAAACGAGCCCAGAGAGAATTCGGTTATGTGAGAAGCCGCCAACATTGTTTAGCTAATCGAGCCAAATTGAAATCATGAAAGTCACGGAATCCCATACTCCTTCATGCTTTGGCAGGCCCAATTCGGTCCAATGTACCCAATGGATCTTCCTTTCCTCCTGTTTCTGGCCCTACCAGAAATTGGCAATCTCAGACTCCATCTTCGTACAGAACGTTTTAGGGAATAAGAAAACTCTCATAGGGTAATTCGGGACAGCTGGAGCAACGACTTTGATAAGGACCTCCCTACCAACTTGTGAGAGAAGAGATTATTTCCATCTGCTTAACTTACGCAACAACTTCTCCTGTCACATCCCGGGAACGGCTCCGCCATAGCACGATATTGTTCGCTTTAGGCCCTTTTCTCTACCCTCACGGTTTTGTTTATGGGAACTCCGAAGTTAAGCGAGTTGGGGCTAGAGCAATCCCAGTGGCCAGTTTTCAAATTGGAATTCCGGTTACTTCCGGCCACTTTTTGAGATAGGCCCAAGAACAAAAGTGACTCCAAATATAGTGTTGTACCTAGGACAGGAGTTTGGGCTGGCAGTTTGGAGTTTTTCCGGCCGCCGAAAATTGATCAAGCTACCCACGCGTTGCCGGCGCGTGGGCAAGGTTGGTGGAGCTGCTAAATGTCCTGATGAGATCCTTAGGTTGTCACGAGCGTGTAGGATTTTGCGGATTTCAAAACGGAGGTCGTGGGTCCCGTGGGCCCGGTTGACCCGATTTGGGAAGTTTGATCGCCCGGTTGACAGAGTGTCTCCCGAGGCTTTTCTATCATCCGATTTGGGTAGTTGGACCTTAGAATGTCTCATTCCTCGTACATTCACTAGAAACTCGGGAAACTAGGTTTTTAATTCAAAATTCTCTTTCGAAGCGCTTGATGTTAATCGCGTGTTCGTATTCTGAAATAGGTACTTCGACCACGCATACGCAGCAGGCGGGACCCTCTCAGGGTCAAGCAGCGTGGGACTACTTGTGAGTGGACTTTGTTTTTAAATAATATGCATGGTTTTATGATGGGAAAATTTATGCATAATGTTTAATGGTATATTTGGATATATTATTTATTCAATGATGGAAATTGATATTTTTATGAAGTATTGACATGTATTTTGGGTTTTGATATATTTGAGTATCGCGTATCGCGCCCCCCCACACATTATCTTCTCTCTCCGCCATAGATCTTGTGTATATATATATATATATATATATATATATATATTTGGATTTTGAGAATCTCTATGTATGTTTGGCTATGTGTGGGGTACTTGGGTTGTTAAAATGAGTTTGTGGAAAGGGTTGAGTATTGAAATATCTGTTTGGAGTGCTTTAAGCACTATCATATGTACCTCCCCGAATTTGGAACTTGGTTACTGATACTTGAGATACTTGGATTTGTCGGAACCCGGGACATCCTTGATGTGATGTTGCTGTAGACCCTGGTTTTGGGGTAGTCTGCGTGCGTAGGACTGGTTTTTTTGTTTTTCAGGCGTACAAGCTTTGAGTGTCTCGGCTGTACGTGCTGGCTAAGAGTTAGTCCCCCAGTTGGACGGCTCGTTCCCTAGTCACATGGTGAATTGAGGAATGGCTCTGCCATATGGACTAGTCAAACAATCCCCCAGTTGGATTGTTTCCCCGGTACAACTAAATGTTGGTTATATTTATATATTATTATTATTATTATTATTATTATTATTCATTCGTTCTTGTTTCTCGGTAAGGATACTTCCTCGCCGGTCGTGCCAGTTGATACGTTTTCGAGACTTTAATCTTTCGGGACTTTTAAGTTTTGAATGGTGGGTTTGTGAAATGTTGTTCACGGATTTCGGACTTGGTATCCGGTATTATTTTAGTATATGTTTATATACTTGCTTATGACGATTTTAAGATGCATTTGGAATTCTTGCATGATTTTCTAATGGTGGGGTTATATTACGTTGATTTATTTGAACTGAACTTTATTTTTTCTGTCCATTCACAATTTTCTGTTTTGCGCCCCCCAGCCAGTAGTGACTGAGCTTCGCAGTCGAGCCGGATCGGGTGTTTCCGAACCTTGAGTCTTGGAGGGACTCCTTCATCTTTCTTTTCCAGTGGAATTCTGTTTTGTTGTATTTGAATTTCTTAGATATGCTTTGTATCGCCCGCTTAGGGTTTGAATTGTGAGGCCGAAGGCCTTTGTTGTAAACTGTTTAACTGCTTTTAAAGCATGCTGCTGGTTGGGTTTATTAACTGTAAATTTTGAGTAGGTTGAAGTTCGGAAATGTTCAATTTATAGGAGAGACTCTGCCAAATTTTTTTGGTAGAAAGTCTCGATCTTTAGTAAGTGGGCTCGGCATTGGGGTGATGTAGGTAATTAGGCGGGGTCCGTCCCGGTTTCCGAGGAAATTCGGGGCGGGTCCTGTCATCTCCCTAACAAACTGATGCGCCTCCGTCTTAGACCTCCCTCACATTGTAGGAAGGCCCAAGTATTTACCTGGGTTATCTACCATAGTCATACCAAGAATGACACCCAACTGCGTGCGAATACTTGCAGGTGTATTGGGACTAAAGAAAAGACTTGATTTCCTGAAATTGATTTGCTGAACAGACGCCTGACAGTAGCCGTCAAGCAACAATCGCATATTACGACAGTTCTGAGTATTAGCCCTGATAAAAAAGAGGGCATCATCTGCAAAGAGAAGGTGAAAGAGAATAGGTCCACTTCCTCCAAACTTTAGACCTTGCAAGTAATTAGCATCACATGCTTTTTTAATCATGAGGGAGAGGACCTCACAGGGCATCCGACAAGGCTTGAGGAAAATAGCTAAGCAAAGAAATTATTGACATAGAGAGCATTGCCCTTTGTTCAATTTGAGCAAAACTCAATCCTACATGTCTTTTTTCTGTCACTTCAACTTGTTTAGGAATTTAGGATGAAAACTTTCATAGTTTCTTCTATGAAAATGCATTAACCATACATATGAAAATTTACCACAAATGCCCTTCAATAGTTGACCTGAAATAAAGGTTAAGACTTGAGAGATTGGAAAAACTACTGAGAGCATGAGGTGAGAAAAATTGAGAGGAAATAGAAATTAGAAATTGCCAAAGTGAGACGAAGTCAATTTCGGTAAGCATGAGTGGTGCAATTTTTTATTTATAGAAATGATATTATATTTTAATATAATCTAAACTAAACTATGGGTGAGAGATTTGAACTTGAGTGCAAAGTGGGAAGCACATTCGCTCTAGGATTCTAGCCAACTTAAGTCTGTTTACAGCTTATTACGATCTCATAACGTGCCATAGCCAAACCATTACGTGTCAACTGCTTTTGGTGGGATTCAACCATTAAATATTTAGTCTTTGTTTCCTTTACCCTTTTTTTCCCTTTAAAACAAAGTCTTTGTTTTATATTTTTTTGGGAACCGCACTTTTCTTAGAGGTGCAAATGACATTGTTAGTGCAACAATGTCACAATCCTGTGTTAGAATGCAAATAATATATTGTCATTGGAGCATAAAATAATTTGTGGGTAAATGCAACACATCATGTGACGTTATTAATTCATTTACTCGTTATATAGATCCATGTATAAGAGTCTCATTCGATCCCACCTCCATGTGAGTGTGTTTCCGAGCATCGGCACCCAAAGACTTTTCTCCTCATGGAGCGTACCACCCTATTTGTTTTTCCCTTTTTTTATGTGCCAAAAAGTACACATATAGCATAGTTGTACCAACATCAGATGACTAGTACTATATAATAATAGGATGGAATCATGTGTTCCATCCCAAAGATTGATTACACTATGAAGAAGATAGTTTTTTCTAAAAAGATTCATTCCCACATCGGCTCCCTTCCAATCAAACCCAGGATGAAGACATAAAGGCAAAAAAAAAAAGATGTTTCTTTAAGGTGACAAGTGTCTTTTTTAATTTTTTTATGCGGTTAAGGTGACAAGTGTTGGTCTTTCAGAAATCAAAACAAACGAACAATAAAGCCACATATGTTAAGATAAAAAGGCCAAAAGAAGAAACACAAAGTTGGATGCTCATATGAGAATCGAAGTCCATAGAACAAGTAGCTTTGACAGAGCTCCAAGTTTTCCTGCATTAGTTTTATCTACTTTGGCCTCTTAGATTTAAGCAAGTAGCAAGCAACCAACACTTCTTCCCAGCCGTTGAACTACAACAAAGACAATGATTGGAAAGAAAAATATTAATGTAATAAACTATAAGAATCCATCTTATTCTTGCCAGCTCATGACCAATGGCTGCAAAGAAAAGCGTTCCACACATTGAAATAAAATATTGGCCCTTCAATATTTGCAAAATTGCAGGAACAGACATGTGAAGATACTTTTTGGACCCAATTCTAAGGCCTTATCCAGAAGTAGTATGGTTGAGAAAGCACATAAGATGCAAAGGTAAGAGGAGCAGAGGAGCAAGGATACACACAGATTCTCTTCTTCTCTCTACCTTAAACAAACATGGGAATCTTTACAAAATCCTCTCTTTTTTGTTTCAACCGTCAGATATATAACCCCTGTTAATATTTTGTTGTTGGGTCCCAATGAAATGGACCCCATATTAATGCGATTCCAAAGAGCAAGACAATGAACTGCCTCCTTTCCTTCCACAACTCCCTTTTCTCATCTTCAACATCTATTGAAAGCCTCCATGACTTTGTTTTAAGCTTTGAGTCTATCCAAAGCGATTGAGATGCCAAATGGGTAGCTTTGTTTGTGACTGGTCTTCCTGAATCTTGCTTTCAAAACTAGCCATTTCTTCAGTGATTCTGATCTGGGTCTTTGTCACTCTTCATTTTTTATTTGTTTTCACCATTCATTTGTTGTTTTAAGTTGTGGATTTTCATTGTTTTAGTGGGTTTTTTTTTTCCAGCTTCCTTTAGTTATTGGGGCTTGTGAGTCTTTGTTTTGGTTTTGGGACTTTTGGGTGAGAGAAGTAGGAGTTTGCAGATATGGGTTCGGGTATGAACTTGATCACTACTGTTATTGGTTTTGGTATGAGTGCAACATTTATAGTATTTGTTTGCACAAGAATCATTTGTGGCAGGCTAAGAGGTGGCGAATCACGGCCTATGTTCGAGATTGAATCAAGGATAGATGTTGAGCAGGTATGTCTGAATTGCCCGTCCTATATTTGTTTTCTCAGCTAGGAAATCTGATTTGAGGTAGTTTTCTCAATTATGAATACCTCTTATATCTGTATGTACTTTTGTTTTCAGTTGATTATGCTTGAATGATTGTTTTGTAACTGGGATCAATATGTGAGTTAGCTTCTCAGTACCTTATTTGGGTAGGCTGGTTTGTGTTTCATGATTTTCATTTGTTTTGATGGCTTGTTATGTTCTTGTTTCGATATGAACTCTGCTGTAGTTGAGAGAGTCAACTCTGCTATATGTTGCAATGTACTAGTTTTCCTTAGTGTGCAGACAATACAAATTACTGAAAAGAAAGGATAAATAAAAAATGGCGTGGCCTTGAACAATAGCTTTGATATTTGATTGTTCTATTTGAATCATACAAGAACTCCTAAGTCTTCATGGCTTTTAGTTTTGATAACCCAAGAGACTGAATTGGTTTCCTTCATGCCCTTTTGCTTTTGTGTTCACTGCTACTGATGCCATTCCACCAAAACTTGAGAGTTTTTCGTGTTGTCATTGTAACTTAAGTTTTGAGCAATGGATTCTAAGGTTTCACTGTTTGCTGGCAGCCAGAGCATCAGGCCAGTGGCCTTGAACAAGTTGTGGTTTCTGCAATCCCTACCATGAAGTTTGATCACAAAGCTTTCAGTTCCTTGGAAGATGCGCAGTAAGCTTTGCAATTTATTTTCTTCTAGTGCTTAAGGAATCTCCTTTGTTTCCCACCTAACCTTAAAATCTGAATTAGTTAATTGAAAAGATCTTACATTTATTATAGCTTACAGGACGTTAGTTTGCCGCTCTTTTTTATGGAATGTCCTTGAGTTTTGGTAGTCATTTCATTCCTTTTGGACGCTTGCTAGATTGAAGTTTAATCTTTATGGTCCTGCAGGTGCTCAATATGCTTGGGGGAGTACCAAGAGAAAGAAGTATTGCGAATCATGCCCAAATGTGGCCACAGTTTTCATCTCTCCTGCATTGATACATGGCTGAGGAAACAGTCTACCTGTCCAGTTTGCCGTTTGCCATTAAAAGAATCCCTTGGAATAAAACATGTGAGATCAGCAACGTTTAGCATGCCTCGATCGTTTGACGATTCTGAGGAACCAAGGGCATTCAGAATCTGCTCCTGGAAACCCTTCCGAACCGACTCCATCTAGAGAACCAGAAACAACGCCACGATAAAATGAAAGAGTTTGATCCAGAGAACCTGTAAAAACCACATGGTAGGCCAGGTAGGTTTTGATTGGAGATTCTCATACCTTGCACAGAATGTTATTATCTGTTGTAGATGGTACGAGCGGCGGAGGTTGTGCTAAATCACTGTGACAAAACTCTGAATTTTTGCGTAGAAAGTTGGAAAATGGAGCTTACAAATATAATCTGATTTCTGTATATATAAAGTTTGTTCACAGAAGTAGAATGTTCATACTCTGTTTTGAGCCATTCATTCTGCTCACTATGAGAGTACATCTTTTCTAAGAATTCCATAATTGAACATACCAACTTCCTGAATTCAATTTTTGCTGTTGTTTCAAGTCTGATAATTAACTGGGCCACAGGGAAATTTGGTTTCAAGTAACTAGTGATGTTGCATGATCTTGTGAGAACCAAACACCAATTATTTTAGAGGTTGCAACTACAGATGGTTTGTAAACTTAAATGAAATGTCTCATCTGGTATCATAGAATTGTAAAACGGGTTGGGTTGGTACGAGTACAGCCAAAAAGTTATTTTTATACAAGCGATATTAGTGGAGCGAGTTTTAACACATAATCTCGAGTGCATAGATAACTGCTCTAAACCATTTAAGCTATAAATCTCTTATAAATTTAACCACAGGACATTGAGTGCAAAAATTAGTCCGATCCCAATAAATGTGGTATGGGTACAACTACAAGCAGCCATGTTAGGCCAATACATGACCTATTAAACATGGCATGGACACGAAATGGAATATGCAAATGCTCCACCAAATTTCATGACTTTGGAACGGGTCTAGTAAGACTTCTACCCCTACGGTTAGGTTAGAGTTATCCCTAGTTTGAGTTGCCGTCCTTTTTAATGAATGATGAATCTCAAATGAGTTTCCTTAATAAAATTAGCAAAATGTCTCTAAAAAAAATAAAATAAAATAAGCAAAATGAAGCATACACGTGGAGCACATACATGAAAGCTGTACCAAATTCCATGAAACCTCAAGTGACCATAGCGACCACATCGTTGTCTTCCCCTGCTCTCACGACAGACACTAAAAACTCCAGAAACCAAAAGAAGCTAGAGACCACATTGACAAATCCAACCGAACCATTAGTAAAAGAAGCGTGTAGAATTTTACATAGAGGGTCATAATGGTGGTACACGTTGGGCTCTTACCGCTCTCTTCCTCTTGCTTACCTTCTCTGCCTCGCCTTCCTCGACTGTCCTCCACCAAGCACAGAACTTTTGCCAGTGAGTATAAACAAAATCCCATATTTCATTTTAGCTAATTCGAGCTCTAATGGGGTCGTTGTTTGAGTTTTTTAAAGAACAACCATGACTTAGTTGATGCAGTATGAGCCTTTTTCTGCTTATTGAATTGGTGTATTCTTATGTAGTTGAGCTAAATGTCAGTCATTTCGTGGTGTTTAAGAAAAATTATCCATTTTGTAATGAGTTCCCGGGTTTTTTTTTATGGTAGATTTGATGAAGTCTCTCTGTTATATGTGGGTTGTCTTGAATAATTGTTTTGTTTTCAATTCAATAAGTAGTCATTTGAATTTGGGGCTGTTGTTGATTGCAACTTTGATGAAGCTGATTTTCACTGAAATGACAGCTTTTAAGCTGTGTTGTCATGCCTCCATGTATTTGCTGATCCTCTGTCAAGCTGACTTGTGTTTGATTAAATTCACCAGTCATAGTTATTTGGCAGTGGCGGTGGTGAGTGAGGATCCGGTTCGTGAATGGATTCTCTCAGAAGGAAATGCAACACAGATAACAAGAATTAGTCCAGTAGGAGGAGGTTGCATCAATCGTGCAAGTCACTATGACACTGATGCGGGTTCTTTCTTTGTCAAAACAAACAGGTTTTTGCTATCAAAATGATCACAAAAGTTGCTTCTAATTTGTTTTGGAAATTTCGGTTTCATATGCTGTTTGAATCCTTATTTCCATTTCGAAGTCATAAATATGTTTAGTTAAAGCATTGAATCAGGAGCATTGGGCCATCGATGTTTGAGGGAGAGGCTCTTGGTTTAGGTGCCATGTTTGAAACTGGAACAATTCGTGTCCCTAAGCCATTCAAGGTGTGGAAGTTTTAAAATTTGTTAAATTATCAAGCCATAGTGGAATGTGAACATGAAGTCCATGACAATGCTTAAAGCTTAGATACCTCTTCTTATGTGTTGTAGTTTGGGCCCCTACCTACTGGTGGTTCTTACATCATTATGGAATTTATTGAATTTGGTTCACGTAGAAGTAATCAGGTGAGGATGGGGAAAATTTTCATGTATTTATATAGGTGATAACAACTTGTAATCGAATTTTAATGGTATATTGGTACTCAGTCTGTGCTAGGCAGGAAGCTTGCTGAAATGCATAAAGCTGGAAAATCTGAAAAAGGTTTTGGTTTTGAAGTTAACAACACTGTAGGCAGGTAGTCTTTCTGGATCATGTGCATGTCTGCACACACACAACTATCGAAATTCAAGGAAAATTACTCAAGGTATATGGAACCAACACACTTTGCCTTGCAGTACTCCGCAGATAAACACTTGGTCATCAGATTGGATTCAGTTTTATGGGGAGCATAGACTGGGTTATCAGTTGCAGCTGGCACTGGACCAGTATGGTGATAGTACCATTTATGAAAAAGGTAAATATTGTCTATTTTCTTGACGTCGATGGTCAATCCCAAATCATGCCTAGTTCAGCTTACCTTTTAGGAAGATGATATAATTCGATAAGTCGACTGAAAAGAAATCATGAGCTAGCACCATATCAAAGTGCAATCCAACCTTTATTAGGATCTGAAGTTTGCTTCCAATTTTTGTACCTACTTCTTAGTAATCCAACTGCCCACAAGTTTCAATGGGGAGTCCAGGTCTCAACTTTCAAATAATTTCTATGGAAAATGAGAAAAATAAGAGTTGTATTTGGAGAAGTGCTTCTTCAATCACAGAAGATGTGATATTCAACTTTAGTTTGTGAACTCAAAGTATAATTTTAGGTTCTGGCATCTTGTTTTTTTTTTAAAGAAAAAGTATCTCCGAAGAAAAGTATGAGTAAGCACTGACATGTTTTTGCATGTAAGTTGGAAACTTGTTTCTCTTTTTTCACTCAATCTTTCGTTCAATAAAACTTTCAAAATTTGAGATGCCTTTTCTTCCAATATTATCATATGAAAATACTCTGAAGATTCATTTGTAGCCTCTCAAATCATTATAAATAAAAGTTATGTTTGCTGTTGGATTATCATGTTTAACAGGACAGAGATTGGTGAAAAGTATTGGACCTCTCTTTGATAATGTAGTGATTGAGCCATGCTTGTTACATGGGGACTTATGGAGCGGAAATATCAGCTCTGACAAGAATGGCGAGCCTGTTATACTTGACCCAGCATGTTACTGTAAGTTAAAGTTAGTTCAGATATCAGTTTGCTGTCGGATAGATCACTTGAAATCGAACTGTGTTGCTAATTGTTGAAGCCTAACCTATGTTTGTAGTATACAAGAAAATATGGTACTGGTACATACATTATTTCCACCCTTGATCTCGGGTATCTTCTGGGAGAGGACCAGTTGAAAGTCTGAGGCTCTCAAATCACTCCAAAACAAGCAGACACACACATTTTGATTGTCTCTGATTATAAAAGGATTAATGCAACATGTTTCATGTAGCTTGTGTTGTGACATATAGTGTGGCAACTGCTGTTTAAAACACTAAGTGCACTGTTGTTATCATTTGCATTTTTTATAGATGGACATAGTGAGGCAGAATTTGGAATGTCATGGTGTGCTGGTTTTGGAGGATCTTTCTACAGTTCCTATTTCGAGGTAGGTCCTTTCTTTATCTCCTCTTTCTCAAAATAAACTCTGCTCTGTTTTTTCGTCCACCTACCCGGGCTCCCAATGTTCATGCAAAGGTGTTTGAGTGAGTGGCAGTAGCACATAACTGTCAAAAGAAAAGATAAATCCAACCAAACCAACTGAAGTTGCTTCCTATTATCAACTCACATTTAAAAGTAAAGTTTAATGCCTTTCAAGCCGTTTTAATTCTTCATGTCTTCATTAATGGTTTATTGTATCCTCAGGTGATGCCCAAACAACCAGGGTTTGAGAAGAGGAAAGATCTTTATATGTTGTATCATTACTTGAATCACTATAACCTCTTCGGTTCGGGTTATCGTTCATCTGCAATGTCTATAATAGATGACTATCTTCGGATGCTAAAAGCTTAGACATTATGGAAAGAATTACTTTTAGTCATCATTGTAGAAAAGCTCATCCGTATGTCTTTGGCACTACTGTTTCCACTTTTGTGATTGTCACCAATTTGTTTTTCTTCTTTTAACATCCTCCTCAAACAATTATGTTATTTGAGTTGTGCAGATTTAGGTCCACTCCCCTTTCCTCTAGCAACACTTGGTATTTGAACTTGAAGCCTATTACAAAGAATAACATTTTATGTATACTTATACTAGTCATGTGGATAAAACATAAGCTTATGCTGGGTTTTTTTAAATTTTTTTTATTTATTATACAATCGATATTCTACTTTAATATAATCTAAAGTCTGGGAAGGGGGATTCGAATTCGAGTGCAGAGTGGGGAGCACACTTGCCCTAACTTGCCAAAACTCATACTGGTGTTTTTTGTGAACTTGAAATGGAAGAATGGAAGAAGATTGAATTGCAATTATACCTTCATGGGCTCTTAGGATATAATTGCAGGTACATTAGCATAGTTGGGCTCTAATCAAAGGGTTTAGGCTAGCTGAAGGTTGGCCTAAAAAAGAAAGTGCTATATTATACTAATGTATGAAGTTCAAATTTTGGTGTCGGAGAAAAAAAAAAAAAAAAAAAGGTGAACAAATTTTTAGGAAGAAACGTTTGGTTGCTACAAAATTGTTTAAGAATTTGTCTCAAACTAAAATAAAATATTGGAGAAAAAAAAAAAAAAAAAAAACCACTCTGGACAACAATGACCGCGAAGTGGAAAGTAACAAGAGATCAAAAACAGAACCAACCAGTCATGGAAGAACTACAGACTCAAACGCAGTCTGATTCTAATAAGAATCTTCCCCCTCTGAAGACTGAAGCCCAATAAGCAAATAAGCCAAGAAGCCACACACGCTCCAGAAAAGCAAACAGCTTTTGAGAGAAGCAGAAACAGCAATCATCAATTCCAGTTAAAGCCAACAGATTGTCCTCATTAAATTTTATTTTATTTTTTAAAAACCAACAGATTGATTTGTACTGATATTAAATCATTCAAAAGATTGAGACTTCTTCAATGGAATCCATGGTAGAGGCAGAACCAGAGCCTCAACCACCACCACCACCATTAGCAGACCTTATTCTCTCCCTAGAACAAGCAACCCACATGGCCAAACAGCTCCCCACCATCTCTGACCCCACATACGTTCTCCATATCTACTCTTCTCTCCACCAAGCCCACCACCACCTCTCAAATTTTCTCTCCACACCCCAATTCCCCCAACTCCAACCGCAGAACTCTCTCTCCTCCGCCACCGGCAACGAGCCAATGCAAGTCGGGGACGGGGAAGATGATGATTTTGATGATGGCGTTGGAGAAGGGAATTCCAGGGCCGCAACAATTGATATGGTTGAGGAGCAGATGAGGGATTGCTTCATTAAGAACAAGCGGCCGAAAAGGCGGCTTTCGCCTTCTGCTGCTGCCGTGGTAGAGGATAGGCGGCTGAATGGTGATGGGTTTGTTGGGAGTGTGAAGGGTTTTGACCCTCATGAGTCTAAGCTGAGGGCTTTGGAGCTTGTGTACCAGTTTCATGGGTGAGTTGGGTGAAACAGGGGAAAGCAGGGGAAAACAGAGGAGTTCTGTTTTGCATTTGCACTGTGATGATGGATGGGTTTGCAAGAAATGGACACAGTGAGTTTTTGTTGATATTGTTTGTTTCCTTAAGGTTTGGCTTAGGGTTTTATTTATGTTATGGTGTGTGACATGGAAAAGAGTAGTATTTCAGAGATGCATACATTGTGGATTTGATTATTATGGATTTTTGTTGATTTATAGAAAAATATTAGTATCATGTTCAATGAGAAAAATTGTTCTAATTTTCAATATCTGTGCATAAACTTTAATTCGGGTAACTCTCTTATTGGGTTCTTAGTTATAACTAACACAAAGGCACAAGTGATAAGTTTGGATGACTTTGCTTGCAGCATTATGCAATGCACAAGTCATAATCATTGTCTGAGCTAAAAAAACGTGGTTTATGGTTCAAATGACCAACGATAAGTTCTTTTCCTAGAACAATATAATGAAAATTTTCCAGCTTGCTCTATATTTTATCGTGTTTGAATGAAATATGCTACAACTCGTGTGGTAGAACAGGCTTGCTCTATATGTTGTTATACTTTAACAATCAAATTATTCAATCGAAAAAATCATCCCTGGATAGCTCTTCTAGCCTTGACTGCAAAAACGTTGCAAGAAAGTTAGCAGAACATCTTACGTTTCCTGTTAAAAGCAGAATGTATTGTGTCAATATACAACCCTGGCATGCTATTATGACTGACGGTAAAAAGGGAGTTTCCTTGTTGATCTTGCTAGGAATGAAATCTTAACTGATGTATTGTTGGAGAATGACTGCTAAAACCCCCACTGCTGTGTTTTAGATGTTAATGCAGTTGAGACAGCAGTAGTTGTGTTGCTTGCTTCATGACAGGAACTTCTTTTTTTGTTCATGCATGAAATTCTGTAATATATTCCAAGGAGCATGATCTTGTTCTTGAATATCGAAATTTAAATACTGGTTGAGAATAAGCTTTTAGTGGAGGAAACTGGGGGTAGTGGCCAGGTTGCTTCAGCTTAGTTTAACAACAGCAGCATCAACCTGCAGCACAAGATTTATCAGCTCAATTTCAATCATTTGTGGTTAACCAGTATTTGGTTAAAGTTTTGATAGAATTTGTTCTGTTATGTCAATTGAGAAGGATGCACCCCTTTCCTTGGTGATTGATATCATTATCGAGCAAGGTAATGATCCCAGCCTTGCTATATGCGTAACCTTCTTCCATTAACTAATATGACTAGATACAGTACTCTTTTACAATAACATCACAAAAACTAGTGTTCCTTGATCATTTATCTCTTGAATTCATGCATGAAGTTTAGTCTCCAAGTGATTGCTGCTAAAGCAAATGAAAATAGTATCTGTTTTCAATGCTGCAGTGTCAAGCAAGATAAATAGGGGAGTAGTTTTCCTGTAATAAGGTCACTGTAAAGTTTTTGCAAAGCCAGGTTACCATTTATAAGTTTGCTTCTTTTAATTTTGTATTTTATTTCAATGAAGAAAGGAAGTCAGTGGCCAATATTACATCATGTAGGAAAAGTGTTTGGTTAAAAGACTGATTGTGTTTTCTCTTCTGCTATATATAGGTCTCTTTCAGTCAAGGTATGAAATTCAAGCCTTTAGACTTGAAAGTACAGCACATGGAACAGGTGCACCTGTTGATGAACTACAGTTTGAAGGGGTTTCTAGTCATAGCGATTTGAGGAAGGTGAATAAAACTTTTGTCGCTTAGTGTTATATCGTTCTTGCTTGAGTCGGCTACAGTAATCAGATTATTTCTGAATGTGCATTTTCATGTGTTGCTATTGTTTGTTCTTACATGATCATTAAAGTAAATTAGTCATATGAAAATATAAATTTGGTATTCATTGTTGCATGACTAGTAGTTCATCATAACAGAAGCTTCAAAAGTTATATGAGATAAATGTTCTACATATTATAACTTCAACTTCCTTAGTTTTTTTCTGCTACACTTGCTTATCTTCATAACAGAAAATCTAGTTGTTAACTGAGAAGTCTCATCCTTGGCCCGAGCAGCTGAAATGAAGTCGGATATAATCTATGCCGTGGCTTATCTTTATGATTCATGTACTATTCTTTGTTTAGTTTAATGCAACTAACATATTTAGGCCATAAGGAAAGTACATGTGCATAGTTTTTTTCTTGTTAAATTGTGATTTAACAAGAAAAAGGGAAAGGTGCCTCATTTTAATTTCTGATCCAAGGCCACTTAAAAGTCAAGGCCGGCTGTGCCTCGTTCATAGTATAGGACGTTGCAAAGTAAAACCAATTTGAAAAACGGCTCATGATGATTCTCTTTGGTTTTCCTTATGGTAGTGATTTGCATTTTCTTATGATTTTCTCTGTATTTTCTTGCTGACCGTCGCATTGCTGAGGTATAATTGTATGAATTTTGACCTTTTAACATTTGAAGGGGGAAAACCTCAAGATTTTGGATTGTTTAATGATTACTTTACGTTTATATATTGATCGTTTGGCCTTGGCTGGCCTATCCATAGGATACTTGATCTGAATGAAACATACCATAGCCAAAATGAAAAACCAGAAGTTACTTGACATTTTTTTTTCTTTCTAAAACTTGTAAAAAGTCACTTGTGTGTGAAGTACACTTGCTGAATTTATTACCATAATGTCATTGTTGGAAATAGCTCTTTACATCCAACAAAATATACATATACAGCCGCTGGCCTTAGCTAAAAGCTGCTAAGATTAGTTCCAATTTATATAGAAAATGATCTCAATTTAATTTAATGGTTTATCCAATCAGTACTGCTATTGGCACCGAAAACTTAAAGTTCCTCCTAATTAGTTGAGAAAGAATTAATTGAACAAAAAGATTTTTCTTTTGTTTTTTAATATAAAACAGATTTTCCTTTTAGATTGTGTTTTTCCAATGACTTGGAAATCTGAACTAAGATTTGAGCTATGGAAATAATTGCTATTGGTAGACTTGCATGGATAATGTCTACGACTATCATTGTGCTTACTCTATCAGTATCCGTGGAAGATGATGATCATGACCGTCTTCATTTCTCTCTACATCCTCAACATTCAAGAATTGATAAAATTCTCCACGAGATGAAGGAAAAAGTTGGGTTAGGTGGTCCCTAATCCAAAACATAAAATTGAATTAAGTAAAGATTCATCATCACATACTCGTACCAAAGAAAATGGTGCATCATCAAGAATACTTGCAGTCTTATCTCTTTAAGAATATCATAGCGGAGCCTGAATTCTGGTTATCCACTGCATATGCAGTGAGGAGAGGATATCTTATAAGTTATAACCAACAATAACCTTGTGGAGAGAGATTTGAGGTAGATATCGGCTTCAAGTGCTGTTACGGCAATATTAATGAACCACCATGACGAGTGGATGCTGGTGGTAGCCAATGTCGGCAGTTCTCGTGCTATTATATGTTGTAAGAATGGTATGGCTAAGCAACTATCTGTAAATCATGATCTTCTTAATAAAATGGAAAGAGAAGCACGTAAACAGAGAGTTTCATATTTGCCGATAACGAGGCATTTCGAATAGTTTGTTGACAAGGAAAACCTCTGAAATTATTTCAATATTGGACCTCGGACATATAATAGTTCCGAATAGAATTTCTTCATCTAATGCCAAAAGTTTAATTCAACATGCCAAAAGTTTGTTCACCTACCAAAATTTGCATTGTTGTAAAAAATTAGTTAAACTTGCACTCTTGTTTGTGATATTGGTATGTCGAGGACCTCCGAGGCCTTAGGAAAGTATAAATAATTTCTTCGCCCTTCAACCTCAAATTCAAGCACCAGGAAACAAAGAAATTATTCAACACATAATAACTAGCAACTCAATTTTCTTTGTTCTTTACTTTCGTTACTGGATTACAATTTGGTAATATTAATGGGATGCAAATGTATGCACAAATCATTGCTTTATAGGCAAAAAATGCTGCTGCTTCTGCTTGTATCATACTGCTAAGGGCCCTAAAAACCATTTTTTGAAGAACAAGTCCGCCAATGATCCATTTCCTTTCCAATTTGCTCTTGCAGGAAACACTTCTATGGAATTTTGTCCAGCTTTCTCTACAAATTGTTGTGGTCGCTGTTTGAATGAGATTTGCTGCAACTAGTACGGTAGAACCGGCTTGCATGTGTGTGAAATGTATCGGCCTTCTAGAGAAACCACAAATGTCATACTTTCACAATCAAATTATGCAACTTCACAAAATCATCCATGGATAGCTCTTCTGGTCTTGACTGCAAAAGAACAATAAGAACAAAAAAGTTAGTAGACTGAATTTCCAGAGGCAGGAGCTTATATAACCCTTTTCCAACATAATTGGTACGCAGAGAAATAGCAATCAATACCGTGGCAGGACGACCAACGTTTCCCAAAGCATTTTCAATCTCCATGGGTGTGCATATGTGCTGAAGTGATCTCCTCAACATCTTACGTTTCCCATTAAAAGCAGAATTTACCTGTATCAAAATACAAACAAGGCATCTTATAATGACAGCCCAAAGGAAAGGCAGTGTCCTAATTGGTCTTTCTGGCAATGAAATCATCTACACTTGGGAGAGTTCTCAAATCATAACTTACGTATTTCTGGAGAGATGTACTAATGGAAGAATTGAGTGAGAATAACAAGAAGATTGACCAAATTTTTTTACGTAAAGACACCGTGGGTCAAACTTAATATCCCCACTACTGAGTGTCAGATATTAATCAGGTTGAAAATGCAGCATCTGCTGCTTGCGTCCATTTACAGGGTTTTTGCAATGAAAATCTGTAATACTAATGATAATCTAAAATGATTGACATTGATTTATGGAAATTGGAACAACCATTGAGAAGAAGCTTTTAGTTGAGGAAACTGAGGGGTAGTGTGCAGGTTGCTTCAGCTTAAATTTAACCACAGCAGCATCAACCTGCAACACACGCAATATCAGGTCAATCTGAATTTGTGGCTAGTTACTATTTTGGTTTAACTTCCAAAAAAACTGTACTGCTATTTTTTCAACTCATTCAAACAAGTAATATTGACAGTGTTAGAAGGCATATATTTTCCCAAATGGGATTACAAATTCTTACGTTAGGCTGAGGAAAGAATTTTGTCCTTGGAACCTTACATATGAATTGAGGATCTGAAAAGGAAAATGAAAAACAGAACCCAGGTCAGAAAAACAAAAAAGGAACAGAAGTATATACACTTGCATCTCACTGGCATAAA